ATTTTTTTTTAAAAAAAAAAAAAAAAAAAGTAACTTCCGCAGAGGACACCATACTGATTTTCAGTCTTCATATTCTGTTTCTTCATCATCCTCTTCATTGTTTCCTCCTGCATATCTCCAACCATCTTCAACATTGTCACGATCCTCTTCTGTTTCTTCGCTGTCTTCCTCATCGTAAGGTTCATCTTTCACGGACCAAGAACTTTTATTTACAGTTAAAGAGGGAGTGGAAACTTTGCGTTTTGCAATTTTGGAAGGAGGCAACTTGAGGTTTGGCTTAGGCTTACTTTGCTTCTGAACTTTACCATTTGACCGTTTCCCAACATAGGCATCTTGGTCACTTGCTTCATCCATTTCATTCTCAGCATTAGCCTGAGCATGCTCTGCATTTTCTTCAGGCATAAGCTCCCCCGGGTGTTCCCTCTTCAAATGGAGTCTAAGCTTGTATTCATGGATGTATGCCTTTTCACACCCGTCATAAGGACATGTATAGGGGCGATCAGATGATGCAGAACCATATGCCCCTCCAGAAGGTTTTGTAGTTTTTGTTTGCTTCTCTGAAGGTGGAGTGTACTTTGCCACATCCACAGTTGCATTCTGTAAGATAAGGTTGAAATTGCAACTCAGAAGATTGTTCAAGAAATGTAAAACAGTTCAAAAGGTTGTTCAAGAAATTGCAAATCACATCCACTGTAGTAATTCATCAGTTTCAAAATGGAGACATGTTTCTACAGATATCCACGATATACATAAGAAAAATAATGTATAATTGTATTGAAATGTATTGTTAACATAGCAAATGAAACTATTGTACGATAACCATATGGATAGATTAAAAGAAAAGAGATGCTTTACATGATAACATGCACCATATAATATGAACAGACCGAGTGGTCAAAAAAATAAAAATGTATAAGCTACATAAACAGGAAACACTATCCAACCTTTTCGTGATGAGATGAAATGTGATTCTTAAGTTTGTATTCGTGAGCATATCTCTTTCCACAATCTGGGTACGGGCAGATATGATAGTTCTCTTGGGAATGTGTCTTCATGTGAGACCTTAAGTTGAAATCCAAGGAGAAGGCCTACAGCAGATTGACAATTTTGGGTCACTAAAGATGTTCTGATTACAAGCATACACTCATTCAAGGCAATATCCAAACTTCAAAGCAAAAAAGAACAATAGCTAATCAGAGAATGAAATAGTGGATAATGATTGAAGATAACATCATTCAAATAGTAATTTATCCACTCAGAAAAGTTTAGTGTAGCTTTGAAGAAGGTACATTCACAATTATACTAAAGAAAAAATCGAAATATTGTCTGGATTTATTATGTGTGTGTGTAGAGAGAGAGACTTCATGACATATTCATCAATAGGGTTGTTAAAGTGACAAGTTTAAATTATGGAAAGATATTTTTTTTGTACCATGATAAAGATGATAACAGTGATTTAATTGCAATATAGTCAACTAAATTTTTTTGTTACCCTCTATATCAACAATTTAATCACTAGGTCAGCATAAGTATCATCACCAAGAGCTCAAGCCTTGCTGCTTGAATATCTCTAGTAAGTCCAATGAAAACACAGACAGATTCAGAGTGGACGGTAAAAGACTGAATGGATTATGATCGTGATAGTAAGAAATAGATGGAAAGCATAAAGCTAATTGGAATGTCACAAATCCAAATGTGTATATCATATAGAATAAACAGAACACGCAACACCAACTAGGGAAAGGAAGCCATCATAGAAAAGAAAAACAAACCCTTAAATGGATCGATTCATCACCTTACCACAGCCTTCATGAGGACACACAAAGTCCCTCTCCCCTGTATGAATGAGAAAATGTCTTTTCAACTTTGAACTGTCCAGAAATTTCTGCAATGTAAACAAAATGACAATAAAGTAAACCACAGCAAGCTATTATAACTTGAATGATAACAAAATGTGAATTATTATTTCAAAACTTGGCAATACAGATGGCACATATATAATGCGTGTGGGTGTGTGCATGGAAGTAACATCACTACCTTTCCACATCCCTCATAGTGACAAACATATTGCCTCTCTCCATGGATGTGAGAGTGCTTCCTCAATGCACCAGCATCTATGAATGTCTTTCCACAGCCATCATAGCTGCAAAGAAAGAGTACTTCAGTAGTTGGCTCTGGTTCTGGCTCAGGCATTGATGGCTCTTTTGTCTTTTCTTTCAAGGTCTTCAAGGTATCCTCTGAAGAAAGTAAAGCAAAGAGAAATGTAAGATAGAAACCATGATAAAATAGCATCATACACACAATGGTCTCTTGGTTGCAAACCACCTAAACTTCAATTTGTTGCATGTTTAACGATTATATTCTTTATTGAATCAGTATTAAGCATTAAAAAAATAATAACTGCTGTATTAAACATTTATGATTGCAAGCTATAAACCAATAGGGAAATGGACAGATTTGACACCGACTAGCAGATCTGGATCCTATAAGTTTCTCTTCATAAAGTCCTTAACCACAATTTTTCTTCTTACTAAGAGTCTTCTATTCCTATCCTGGACTTCAAGAAGCTCTGATTGACTCAATGGCCAATGCACATTGAGAACAATTGCAAATGATGTAAACTATAATTAAGGGGAAAATCTCGGTGCTTAATTTGTGGGATTTACTTCAACTCATTCAATACTGCATAATGATTCAGTCCCCCTCCCCTTTTGAGAAAAAAGAAACAGAGGTGTCATAACCAGTGTTGTCCTTCCGGTGAAAGTTTAAAGGCAATTCAACATTAAGCAATGCATAAAAATTCAATGTTCAGCTTTGATGTGCTACTTAACTAGAGACCCATAGAATAGCCAAATGGGTACAAGATGTAAGCAGACATAGAATGGCCAAATGGGGGAAGGAGTGTGAAGAGATGTAAGCTTGCCAGATAGCAAAAATAACCAACCTGTTACCCATTTTAAGAGCATGCACTTCCCTCCAGTCGTTACAAGATCCTGGGGAACCCTGGCAGCAATATTGATCTGTTCATTAGCATAACACTTCACAGAATAAAATAAGAAAAGACCGAAACAATCAGATGACAAAAAGAATGGAAACAACATATGGCGAGTAAACTCGTTTACAATCATAAACCGATAAAATTATAAAACTCGTTTAAAATAACAATAAGAATCATTCCCTTATTATAATTTCATTCCACTCATTCGAAAAATAAAAAAATCTCAATCACGGAGAACGCTTGGTTTAAACGAACCTCCCCCCCCCCCCCCCCTTCTTTCCAAACTCCTCCATCGAACTCAATTGTTTTTCCGCAATCAAACAACAAAACCAACCAATTTCCCGAAGCTAATTCAACAAACACAGTAATTAACATATAAATTGAGCCTCGTTACACATAGCTACAGTACCACAGAGAGATAATTTAGCGCGATGCTGAAATCCCTAAAACAGAAGATCCAAATTATGAGAAGCGTGAAATCGAGAATACCATTCTCTGACCCATTTAACTGCGGGAGCCTTGGACTTGAGGATGGGGCGCCTCTCGAAGTAGCTGTTACTGTAGTGTATCTCCATCTCCGATTCACCGCCGCTACTCTCTCCCCTTCGGAAATTCTTCGAAGCTTTTTCGCGTTTTAGGGTTTGGTGTTTTGAGGGGCCATATTTTCTCTCCAAGCGTAGGGATAAAATACTTTGATCCTCTCTTCCTCTTCACTAACACGAACGAACGGGTTAAAGGGACGAAGACACTGTTTTATTTTAAAATAAATAAATAAAGGATTATATACACTTAATAAAAAAATAGTATATTTTTAGTCTTTTTAATTATGATAAAATTATTTTAATGTTTAGAAATAACACTTTTTCACTGAAAATTTCTCAAGACATGTGGTATGCAGTTTTCTTGAACATACAGAATACACGAGAAACTATTTTCATATCCTCTTGAAAACATGAAAATAAATATTTTCGTAATTACATATATGAAAATACAAAAGAAAAAAAAACACGTTAAACAAACACTTTTTATGTTGAACTTATTTTTCCATGATTATAGAGAAAGGTGATATTCTTGTTAAAACATGAGAAGTTATTTTCTGTATTTTGTAGTTTCTATTCTCTTCCTTATTTTCTATTTGATTTTATTTATATTTTAAAGATATAAATATTTAAATATAGTTAAGCATTTTTGAAAATATATAAGAATAGCATTCTTAACTATTATTCCTAAAAATGTAATTATAAAAAATGAAATCTAATATGGTGCTTTAAAATAACACTTCTTATTTACAAAGTGAAAATATATATTCTTACATTCATATTTTTATAATAGAAAAAGGATCACTAGTATGAGTGGTAAAGTGAGTCGTGGCCACCTGACAATCCATTAGCCCATTTATTTATTTATCTTATATTTTATAGTGTATGTTATTTTGTATTATGGTATAGTTTCATTATCAAAGGAATATCAATACTTTTATTGTAATTCTAAGAATTATTGTAATTTTATGGTGTTAAAAGACTATTGATGGTAATCTTGATTGAAAAAGAAATACTTTTAGTAATTTGTTATTTTTGTGTTGTAGTCTTGAAATTGAAGGAAAAATTTATATAATTGGTCATTTGATTAAATTTATCAATTACTATAAAAAAATTGTCAATTAAGGATTCGATTCAAGCTTGTGTTCCTTATAAGATGGGTTCGACACTCTTACGACCATTAAAATTCTACTTTGGTTGACATACCTACTAAGGTGAAATTCATGTAATAGACTTCTATACTAAATGAAAAATGCTGCTTGATTTGAGAATTTCTCGCACATCATTGACTCTCTATCCGATAATCATGAAAAAATTATTAGATGGTCCTAAACCACATGATCTTTAACTAACTCTATATGACATGTAATATATGTCATTAAATTTTTCTCACAAATTTAAAAACTTAAATATATGCCATATAGTGATTGATTGAGGTCATAGACACTTTGTAGTCTTTTACCACCTAATAATTTCTTGTAGTTAAGGAGTGTCATCCCTCATATATCACTTTTATAACAAAAAAAAATATAAAATAATAATAATAATAATTTTGATGGCCACTAGTTACCAGCTTGCCCTTAAGTAGGATGAACCAAGATTTTCAATTTGCTTTCATCAAATAGGTCAGTCCGTCCTACCCCATTTTTTGGAACACAAACATACCGGATTGACTTATTTTATCACCCTTAATCACAAACATGTACCCATATAATAATACAACAATCACTTATAATTATTTCATTCACTCTAAAATTATTCCTATAACATTTCTAAGTGAGAAACCATAATCAACATATCATGACTCGTTGTGGCCATTCATGGCACAATCTACTTATAATCAATCCATCTATGGCAACAATCTAATCTCAATTCCATAAACTATTTTTTCTGTTTTAGATAACTCAAAAACCTATATCGGGAGGAGGGGGTAAAAAAAGGGTGAAAGTGGTAAAAACAATAATAAAAAAGAAATCAAGGGCAAGGGATGGAGTAGGCTAAGAGACAAGTTGTGGAGCTCGGACACGTTTTCTTTATCAATAGTAATCATTTAAAATAATTATTCAAACATTTTTAATATCAATTTGTCGCGCTATAAGCTGTTGGTTCATTTACCAAACCGTGTTCCTTTTTCCTCTGTTCTGCTACACGATGCATGCAATATGGAATGCCAGAAACCAAGTTGTGCTCCATGCTCATGTGCCTTATGCGTATGTTATCCTTGTAAGATCTAGAAGGGAAGCTAAGGCCTATGTGCGAGCAACCCATGGTGAATGGCAACAATCCTAATTGACCCCATTGGGGTACACAAATGCTAACACTATCATTAAGTGGTTGTGGCCTCCTAGTGGGGTGTAGTGGTGTCGTTAGGAACTTCCAAGGAGCTTTTATACAAGCATTTTCTTCCTACCTAGGTAAGTGCGGGGTTTTGGAAGCTGAGTTGTGGGGAATCCAAACTGGGCTCAAGATGCTTCAGAATTTGGAATATTCAGATATTATCGTTGAATCTAACTCTTTGAGTGCAATTTGCTTGTTAATGGATGGATGGGGACGTGAACATGCTTGTTGGTGGCATACATCTTGTGTCTTTATGTATTTACTCTGCTATGCTTTTCTTTATTTCGTTTGCTGTTAAGGATGATGCTTCTATGACTGGTTTCCCACATGGATTTTAATTTAGCTTATTTTTACCCATTCTCTTCACACAAAAAAAAAATCATGAAATAATTTTCAATTTTAATATCATGACATAATTTAGATGGTTTCCTGGAATTGATTTAATACTTGATTGATGTAACGACCTGACTGGTCACTACACACGGCACAACACACCAGAACACCACATAGAGAGGATATATATATATACAAGGTTCAAATCTGGCTAGAGTTAGACTGTACAAAATACATCCAGCAATGCTACACTAAGTAGCTAAATACAACAACAAAAAATCAAACGCCATCTGCCAGCTGCAGACTCTCCTCGGCTGCACCAACCTAACCTTGCTCTGCTCCCATACATAGTATGATCATTGCAGTCCAAACCACATGGAAACAACAAAGGGTAAGCTAGTGAAAAAAAATCATCATACATATATATAAATACATGAATGGTAAACAGCTACAGCTATCAGCACATCAACCAGCTTAACGACATCAGCTTATAATATAACACAGCTTTCAGCAATAACAGTAGTAAGCACAAATGCGTCGTCACACATATCAGTTAGTATTGGTCACTTGTAATTGGTATAACTCGACCTGACCTCTATACCATGGTCGTTTTGTACACGTGTGTCTCGACCTTGCCCACACACGGGACCACTAAGACTTAGAGGAGAACAGCAAGTTACCACTCCAAGGGTCAGCTTTCCAAGGAGGGTTTTCAACAAATTGGGCTCTAAGAGCACCACAGCCGCTCAATCCACACAATGGGATGAGGAAATTTCGAAAACATCTCCTCTAGTCTTAGTGATCAACAGCTCAACCTTACGGCCTACAATAGCTCCTATCAGCACGGAGCACAGCACTGCATAGCAGCAATAACGGTACTGCATAGTAGTAATAACAGCATTGCATAGCAGCAATAACGGCACTGCATAGCAACAATAACGGCACTGCATAGCAGCAATAATGGCACTGCATAGCAGATAACAACATACAGCTTAGCATTATACAACACAGCCAAACAACTCACAACTCAACTAACACAGCTCACAGCACAGCACAGCTAAACAACTTACAGCACAACAATTTACATCAACTACGTCTTAACACCATAATTCAGCAATTATCATCCAACAACATAGCAATACAACCACATCCGTCAACAATTGCAACAAAATTTAACACATAACAACCTATAAGTACACATCACATCTGCGCCCGACGCACTCATGGTCGCGCCCGGCGTGACACAACCAGAGAGCATAAGGGCTCAACGCGCCCAACGCAATTTCAATTGCGCCCGGCGTGATACCCAGCAGCAACCCTCAAACTTCAAAAATTTCTCCAAAACTTGCACCAAATCAGCTTTCCAAACATATGCAATCGGCCCAAAACGTCACATTTTCATCAAACAACCCAAAAATCCCAGCTTTTCCCACATGCAACCACAATCAAGAAAACCCCAAGATTTTCATCAACCCCGGAAAACCCGAAAATGAAATTTCTTTTATCTCAGCCAACAATCATCAAACATTAGACCACAAATGAGTTTCTAAACTCATTTTCCCCACAATACAGCCAAGAACTAACTTCCCTTACCTCGGTTAAACGGCTCCGAGCTCCGAAAAGAGATAACGAAGAAGGAAGAAGGAAATCCAAGCGTCCGCAAGCTTCTCAAAACCTACTCAGCACCTATGCTCACCACAACCACTACCAAGAAGAAGAAATCAGCAACAAGGAGAAGGAGAGAGTGAGAGTTGGGTTTGGGGAAAAAGAAAAAAGAGGGTCTCACAATTGATGTTGTTTTAAAGGTATTTATTATTATACCACCAAGCACATGAAAAACCTGTCTATGAAGTTATTTCAACTTAATGATCTTGAATTAAAGCCTTATATATATGTAGTAGTATTAAATTATCCAATGAAAAGTTTTGTTATTTTTAATAGTCTTATTTAATTTGAATAAAATTGTCACTAATGATAAATAATAATTTTCGACTCCTTTTTTTTTATCAGTCTCGTTTTAATCACTTAAAATTTTTTTACTCCTTTTTTTTTATCAGTCTCGTTTTAATCACTTAAAATGTTTTTACCAATTATTTGAGTTGCAATTATTAATGTATTAATAAATAATAAATAACTATCAAAAGATAAAAGAAAAATCACAATTTAGATTTTTAAGCTATTTTTTTTTATAATTAATTTTACATTTTTAAAATTTGTTTTATTTTTTATCTTTAGTTCACGGCCTAAGCATTTTTTTATATAATAATATTTTTTTTTTATCATTGTATTGACAGGAATATCTACTAACTTTACCTCCCTTCTGCTTTAATTGCATTAAAATTATATCTTTTAACATTATTTTTTTTTTATCAAATTCAAGACTCTTACTTGATATCTTAATGTTTTGAAGAAAAATCATAATATCAATTGATATAGATTGAACCTTTAACCGAGAGTTATGAGAGAAAATACATAATAAAAAAAAATTTGTTTATTATTCGTACCAATAAAAACAAAATTAATCCATTAAAAATGTATACCAATACAAATGAATTTTAAACGATTCCAGCTGACCATATACCCATATCTAACATGTTTTACTAATTTAAGAGTTGTCTGTCTAGTGGTGAAGAGCACGTGAACTTGGAACGTAATGTGGGATAAAATAATTTGTGATTTCATTTCTGCAATTAATTCTGTACAAAATTATAGCACAAATTGTTTCAAATTACTTTTCACTTATAGTTCAATTACAAATTTCGGTTTTGGTTCTACTTGTTTGCATTTGTTTTTTTTTTTCTTTCTAAATTTTGAGGTTCAATTTCTGCTTAATTTTTATTTCAATTATAGCCGGATGATTATGCTCTATTTATTCATGTTTTATTTTTTATTTTTTGTTATGACAATTTATTATGCTTTATTATTTTGTATATGCAGCGACGTAAATGATTTTTCAAACACAATCTAAACGGTCCAATTTGATCTAATTAGCCCGTTGGGTTAGATAAAATTGGTCCCTTTCGTTTTTAGAGTTCGACCCATCAAGCAATTTTTTTATTTTATTTTATTTTATTTATATTTATTTTAACAAGATAGTTACTAGATAGCTTGTGCATGTTATGATTCCATATAATTTGGTTGACACCTCACACCAGCGTACCATTACTTATTTAGAAAGCAACTTAAGATACTTAAAGGGAACAAATGTACCTTGTTACAACCCTTAACACCCAAGTTCATATATATATATATATATATATGTGTGTTTTTAATTTTTAATTTCTATAACTTTTAAAAACTTTATTTTATTCTCTTATAATAACATATCTAAAATAATATATAAAAATAATTATGCAATACCAGTCAAATTTAATATAATATTTTTATTAATAAAAACACTAATATATTAATTTTATGTGATAATATTTAAAATATATTTGAATAAAATTTAAATATAAAGAGTAAAATAATATTTTTAAAAATTATAAAGACTTAATAGATTAATTTTAAATTTAAAGACTACAAATAAATTTAATTTAAATTTAAAACATTAAACTAATATTTGTTTTTTAAAAACCAACCCTCGTACTTTTGAAACTTCTCGATGCTTTTTAGGGTTACAGAATTATAAAATCCAGGTGGAATATTAATTTTTTGTTTACCGAGCTTTCAATTCAAAGATGATTGGGATCGTCATATATTTGTTTATTGGTTATTTATTTATTGTCAATGAAAGTGACAGAGGATGAAAGCGTAAACATATACATAAAATGTAAACACGATCAATAAAATAGAATACAACTCGATAAGAAAATAAGCCAAATGGCCTCGTTTGTTAGTGAATTAGTGGGAGGTTATAGATTTAAAATTCATTTTTAATATCATATATTAATAAACAAAAATACACTTTGTAACCCTTATATATATAATTTTTAAAAGATTTCGAGAGAAAATAATTATTAAAATATATAGTATAAATTTAGGATCATTAATGTATGTTTAGATACTAGTGAAAATGTTTTCTTTTACAAGTTAAAAACTACATTTAACATAAAAAACACATATTTTTGAAGAAAAAAAACACTTGCGAGTATATATATATATATCTTAAAAAAAATACAACTATTTTCTCTAAATTTTTTAGAAATAAATATAAAGAGACCGTCTTTTCCATATATATCCAGTTCCATTTCCATCAAACAACTTGTTCATAATATCTTCGTACGATATAATATATTACGGTATAAATTTTCGTCCAAGAATATACTTTACTCTAGACAAAAGATATTCTACATTAAAAATAATGTTCGTTTCAAAAGAAGCAAACAATCATTATAATATAGTCCTATAAGATTATGAAACTCTATCATAGTAGTGTTTAAATTAAAAAAAAAACGTCAATTTAAAATTGTTAATCACATTATTTCTCACTGTCAATTCCATTATCAATTATAATATTTAATGATTATGTAAAAAGTTGACCGAGCACATTTATTGCGATATTTTTCTGTCAATTACATTTTTTATTCACAAGATTATAAAACGTTATTAATAGTTTCAAATTGAATTCCATTTCCATCAACAATTTATTCATAAGGTATTGATTTCATTTTATAATTACTAACGAAAAAAAAAAGAAGAAGGTATTTTTGCAATAAAAACGTGTAAGTAATTATTTTTTTTAAAGAGAACGGTGATTTTTTTTATTTATATATATATATATATATATATTGTATTAATTTCATTTTATAATTATTAGTAACGAAAATAAGGTATTTTGTGCCTCTTGAACAAAAGTAAGTAATTATTATTTTTAAGGAGATTTTTTTTATTTTACCTTTAAAAGATATATTAAAGAAAAAGTTAAAATACAATAAAATAATGTAATTATCTTTAAAAAATAAATATAAAAAAGTTATATATAATAAACATATTTGGATAGAAATACAAGAGTTTCAACATAATTTCTATTAAAAAATATTATTTATTTTCTATTTTCATTACAGAAATTATTATAAGCATTTCAACATCGTAATTAAATATGTTCATTATTATGAATGATCTATATTTATATTATTAATCTATACCTATTCTTATATATATAACCATTTTTCATCTCTATCTTTTTTAAATGACTTTACCTTTAAATTATTAAATAATAAAAAATGATATTAGAAATTAACTATTAATTTCCTCAAATATTTATATTTATAATCACCTTTATTATGTAACTTCAATTTTATTTTTAATTTTTAAATAAAATATCCTTATTCACTAGTTATTAATAAAAAAATTATTTTAATGTATAGAAATTATAGATTAATTTAATCATATAGCTATTTATAAACCACTTTTTTCCCTAATCGAAGGATATCCAGTTTCCAAATTATTCTCTATAAATAACCATTTATTTTTAAATATCTAGTAATTATAAATTTATAATAACAGTGAATTATATAAGAAAGTAAGAAAGTGAGAAAGTGAGAAAGTGAGAAAGTGTGGTGTGTTTCAGAGTCACAGCGATTATTATTCTTTTTTAAAAGTGTAGTGTAGTGCAGTGCAGGTCAAGGCGAGGGTCGAGTCCAGACTCCAGATCCATTTCTTTTCTCTCTCTCTAATCAAATCAAATCAAATCGAATCAGTTGGGTTGCGAATTGCGATTGTTCTTCCTTTCTTATTTCCAAAAAAATATAAAACCCTAAACTAAACTAAATCCCGTTTTCGGCGAGATCGAGATCGAACATGGATGAAGAGTACGATGTGATCGTGTTGGGCACGGGTCTCAAGGAGTGCATTCTCAGCGGTCTTCTCTCCGTCGATGGCCTCAAGGTTACTACTAATCACTCTTTCTCTTTCTCTCTTTTTCCAATCCATCAAATCTCATGCTCATTTTTTCGATTCAGGTTCTTCACATGGATAGGAATGACTATTACGGAGGAGAATCCACTTCACTCAATCTTATTCAGGTCTTTCATCTCTTTATATTTTTCTCAGCACAAAAAAATAAAATATAATAATGAAACTGCGACATCACGGTTTCTCTCTGTCTATCCTCTTCAGCTTTGGAAGAGATTCAGGGGAGATGACAAGCCTCCTCCACATTTGGGCGCTAGCAGGGACTATAACATCGATATGAACCCTAAGGTTTATTTTATTTTATTTTATAATAATTATAATGCTAAATAAATCTCGGTGGAATTGGATGTGAACATATGATATGATATGATTCTCAATTTGTCTGACGTTGTTTGATTTATTTTATTCTAGTTTATTATGGCTAATGGCAATCTAGTGCGGGTTCTCATTCACACCGATGTTACTAAGTATCTCTCCTTTAAAGCTGTGGATGGGAGCTACGTGTTTAATAAATCAAAGGTATGCTGCTGTGTTCCTTGTAGGGTGTAAATGAGTCGAGTCAAGCCGAGCTCTTGAAGTCTGGGCTTGGTTTGTGAGAAAATTTGATTGTTTAAGCTTGATTCATTTATTTAATTGACCCTAATTGAAAGCTTGAGCTTGTTTAGCTCATTTTCAACTTAATTTTTTTTCCTTAATGTTGAGCTTTCAAAGCTTGGGCTTAGCTCATTTAAATATCAAGCCTGTGTTTGTTTAATTAATTGAATGAAGCAACTTGAACGAGTAATTGACAAGCCGAGCATGAATAGTTCACTAATAATGGCCTGACTCATTTACACCCTAGATTTTCGTGTATCTTTATGGGAGGTTTCTTTTGGTTTAGGTGTTTTAATTTTTTTTGATGGTTGTTGCAGGTTCACAAGGTGCCCTCAAACGACATGGAGGCCTTAAAGTCCCCACTTATGGGGATATTTGAAAAGCGCCGAGCACGCAAGTTTTTCATTTATGTGCAAAACTATAATGAGAGTGATCCCAAAACCCACGAGGGGATGGACTTGACTAGAGTCACTACTAAAGAGTTGATAGCGTATGGGACATCTATACACTTGTTTTCTTGCTGTGTACATTATTTTTGTAGATTTAGTGTTTCAGGCTCTCAGCTTTGCATTGCCTTCATAATCTATATAAACATATTGAAATTGATTGAGTAATAACTAATGTGGCTGGTTGGCCTTGATGCTATGTGATTCAGTCATGTAAAGTTGGCGGGAAAATGCATGTATATGGTCAATTCTGTAATTCTTGTATTATTGTAGATGTGTTTATATGTGACAATTTACTCTTATTTGGCACCTTTTTTGTGTGTAAATATTTAATAAATTTATTTGGATGCCATGATGATCGTACATTTACTTGTATTATTTCATATATGTCTCTTCATCCCTGTAATGAGAAGAAAATTATTTAGAACTTGTGTGGATGGTCACAAGGAGTATTTTAAAGTTTCTTTTGCTTTTCTTGTTGACCTATGACAGAAAATATGGCCTTGATGATAACACTATAGACTTCATTGGTCATGCTTTGGCTCTTCATAGAGATGATCGCTACTTGTCTGAGCCAGCATTGGACACTGTGAAGAGAATGAAGGTAAGTTTAATGGGTTATTATGCACTTGTATTTTTGTTCTCAGTCATGGATTCTAAATTGAAAGCTTTGTCTGTGTTACATTTGGTTGCAATTAGCTTTATTTATTTAACCATTCATGCTTATGTTTCCTACTTGTAGTTATACGCGGAGTCTCTTGCACGCTTTCAAGGAGGGTCACCTTACATATATCCTTTGTATGGTTTAGGAGAGCTTCCCCAGGTATTCCACTATCTATTTTTTTTTGGTCTCTTTGTCGAATGTACTGTTGGAATTTGTTTTGCTCAAGGTTCTTTAATTTTTTTTTTCCAGGCATTTGCACGTCTTAGTGCTGTTTATGGTGGAACATACATGTTGAATAAGCCTGAGTGCAAGGTATACTCTATTTTACATACATACACACAATGTCTCTCCATCTCTCAATTGACACCAGTGTAAGACTTGGCACACCTGCACAATTACAACTTTGATAGAAAATATTTTAATTGATCCAGTCTTCAAACTATAATTATTATTTAGATCTTGAATGCCTCATTTTTGAAAAATTTAATAAAACTATGTTGTCAATTTGTCATCAAGTAGTTGATGTTTTAGTTTATTTGAAAACTATGTTAAATGCTAGTTTGAAGACACTTTTATTCAGTGGAAAACAATATTTGATCCTGAAAAAAATTATAATGAACTAATACTAGCATTGAAAAATTTATTCACCAGTGTATATTTGGTTATGAAACTTGATACACGCCACTGTCAGTAGTTCCTAACCCATTATATATAACCTCTTAAATTCGTTGAACTTGTTATATATTTTGTTAATTGCCCATCCCTATTTGAAAAAAAAAAATCTTCACCAGTGTATATTTGATGTTCTTTGAATAAAATTATTATTGTGAGTTAAATTTGTTTTAGTTTATCTGGAATTGCAATCCTTATTTTTGTATTATAATTGCTATTGTGTTTTTTTGATGTGTATTTGAAGTTTGAGTAGCATGCTGATATACATTCATACTTGTGCAATTTTTACTTTTTTGCTTGAATGGCAGGTTGAATTTGACGATGAAGGAAAAGTTGTTGGTGTCACATCTGAAGGGGAAACTGCAAAGTGCAAAAAAGTTGTTTGTGATCCATCATATTTGCCCGGCAAGGTATTAGAAACCATTCTCTAGTTTTGACTATTTTGCAACCAGTTTAGGTGATGGTGAGTGAAAAATTGTTTGCTTCTAATGTCTTGTAGCCATGCTAAGTTACCAGTTTTGTTTCTGAAGGATGTTTATTTACTGTTGATAAAAAAGTTAGTGGCAATTGGTGAACTGACATTAATTTCTTAAATGACTTGATTGGGAATTGCATCCTTCTTTTAAACAAAATTGTAATCATTTCAACAGGTGAGGAAGGTTGGTAGGGTTGCAAGGGCAATAGCCATCATGAGCCACCCAATTCCCAGCACTGATGAATCCCATTCAGTGCAAATTATTTTACCACAGAAACAGTTAGGTCGGAAGTCAGACATGTAAGTTTCCATGCAGCATATTAAAGAATGTATATTTAGTTAAATTTGTAGAATCTGTTACAATACGGGTACGATACATATCATGCTGTTGGTACCATTAATTGGCGTGCATAGTGGTTTCTTAACTGAAGTTAAATCTTAGTTTCATCTGAATTCTTTTCATTATTTCTTATCAGGAAAGTAATCAAATGGTTTCAGCATGAATTAAGTTTGCTTCTATTTTATTTATTTAAGAAATTGCTAGCAAGATAATTTCAAAAATTTAATGTACTGGTAAAATCACTGAACCGTGCAGTAGACAAGCAACAAATTTACATATTCCACTAAAAATGAATATTGCAACCATCCTCAATACAGAAGATATATTGAAATTCTAAGATTTGATATTTAAAACTTGGAAAAGTTACTTAAGTTTTTGAGCAAGTGATGTCAATTTTAAATTGTGTTTTCCTCTTTAAATTGAATGTTCTATTCTGTTCTCTTGGGCAGGTACCTATTTTGTTGTTCATACACTCACAATGTTGCTCCAAAGGGAAAATTTATTGCGTTTGTATCAACCGAGGCAGAGACAGATCAACCAGCAATTGAACTAAAACCTGGAATTGACCTACTAGGACCTGTTGATGAGATATTTTTTGATATCTATGACAGATACGAACCGGTCAATGAATGTACTTTGGACAACTGCTTTATTTCAACGGTTAGTTTACTGTCTTATGAATATTTGTGCCATATGTTGATAGGTTGACAGTACTGTATTTAAAACTTTTTGACAGAGTTATGATGCTACTACTCACTTTGAGTCAACTGTGGATGATGTTCTCAACATGTATACATTGATAACGGGAAAGGTAAGTTTTATGCCATGGTGACCACTTGTTTTCATTTCTTGAATTAATTTCGCTTGTCACAAATTGTGTCTGACATTATTCTATAGTAGTCATTTGCTCCAGAAGTTAAGACCGACATTTTTAATATCTTGTCACGTATTGACAAGTCTACATACTGTAGGAAGTAAATTATGGAAGCACATGCATAAGACCAAAATAGTCACTTAGAGCTACAAGTAAATGCCTATTAGTTAAACCATGTTGATTAAAAAGTAAATTATGGAAGCACATGCACGAGCCGTCAGTTTCACACTGACTTAGGATTTTGATATGGCTTTTGGTTCTTGTAAATCAATTTTCTGCAAAGAAAATGTTTGTTGTAATTAAAAGTGAAAATAATAAACAAAAAATATCTATGAAATATTTGTTCAGGAAACATCTTTGAAAATATCACTTTGTTTTTTATTCTGTTTAGCCTCACCTTTGTTTTCTACTTTCAATGGTTCCCGAACAAATCTTTGAAAATGGAAAATAAAATGATAACAAAGTGACATTTTTGTAATTAAAAGTGAAAATAATAAACAAAAAACAGAACATTTTCTCAAAGTAAGAACCCCCTTAGATTCCCTTCTTCCCGACTCCCAAAAGCTAAAAATGGCTGAAATAAGTTTTAATTAACCTGTTTAGGATGAGTGGGATTTCTAATGGTCGTTTTGCCGAGTTCTTTGGGTAGCTGTTGTCAAGTTTACCTATTTGATAGAACTGGCAATATAATGTAACAAGAAAGAAATGAATCTTTTATTCTTCAAGAATGAGTGATGGGAGTGTAGGGTTCCAGGATATTGAGGAGACCTGGACTCTGCACAAACCAATTCCAAATTTCTTCCTACCTCGCTCTTATTCTGACTAATGTTAACTCTATTCTTTAACGGTTTAACCTATCATTTTCTTAGTATGAAGAATTTATATATTCCAAAAATGGTTGTTTTTCATGAAACAATATCCTTTTGATTCTTTTAAATACATTAACTCTGTAGACTTGCTACTAATGTGATTGAAGAATGGATGTGAATGAAAAAATTGAAGAATCTAGTCAATTTTGTAGTTGTTGCAATGAGAATTGCTAGTGTTATTCTTTCTAAAGCTTTTTGGTCAATATTCTTTCTAACATTGGTTGAAATTGAAAATCACAAATTTTGGTGGTACCTATAACTAAATCAGGCATTCAGGATAAAGGGTCATTAAATGAGATGCGGGATCCAGAAAATTTGTGATTTCTAATAAACTTAAGCCAGGAATGAAGTCTTATAAATAGTTTGTCGCAAGCATTCCTGTTGTCGCAAATGTGTTTGTGGATGGACTAGCAACCTGATCTTTGTGGCCTACTGTTGGGCATGGGAAACCTTGAATAATGATTAATGATATTCTCTTGATAACTTCTTGGTAATTGGATAACATTCTGATTCTTGTACACCTAATTTTGAACAGGTTATTGACCTGAGTGTGGATCTTAGTGCTGCGAGTGCTGCAGAAGAGTAAAGAAAACTGGGATATCTCCTTTATGATCTGTTGCTGATGGTGAATGTTATTAACGTTTATAATAAATTATGGTATAAAATGTTTTCGTTTTTAAAAAAGATTTGTGTGGCTGGGGAACTTTTCCCATCCAGAAGCTCTGTCGTGCGTATTAAATTTATGTTGACATACATGATATTATGCCTTCTGCAGTGGTTTTAGTTTTTGGTAATGTAGTCTTATTTTCATATTGTTAATTGCGCGTCTCTTCTATTATTTCCGTTGCTCCCATTGCAATTCGTGTTTGGATAAATAACCTAGTTTAACACACTTGTTAAATATAATGGTTTAAATAAATATGGCAACCAAAATGAGGACATTTCTTTTCTGTTGCGGTCCCCCATATATAAATGAATGTCTTTTTACTTTGTTTTTGTATGTTCCATTTTTTTTCTAAATAATCGGAAACTGACTAGAATTTAAAATTAATTAAATTTAGATTTCTTTTGAATAATACCTTTAAAAAGAATATCGTATTATCTTACACAACAATCACTTCCTTTTTTAATCTTTAACAAGTTCGCCACTGGACCGTAACCCCAAGTTATTTTGGAAAGTTGAGAAAGTTATAGGTTGAGTTTGAAAAATGTTAGTAATATTCTCTTTATTTTTTCCTGGAATTCATGTGGGTTTTATTTAGGAATGTAATATGTCAAATACAAAATTAAATTTGTATCATAAAGAAATATGTTACTATTAAAAAAATTATGAAAGTAATGTCTGTTATTATAGTTTTGAACTACTGAAATTATATTTATGACAATAGGGTTTGGATTTAAAATTATGTACTTGTTATCTTAATCTTGCATCACTAGGTGAATTCTAATAGTTTATAGTGTATAGATTAAAACCATAAAATACATAAATTGTTAACATGCGAGGCAAAGCAAAGGGGATGATTTGGAAGGGTCATGGTTATCATCAATTTTTTTTAGTGTAATTAAATGACTACAATAGTCATTTTCGGGTCTTCCTAAATTTTATTAAAAAATATTGGAAAATGGTACATGAACATCACTGTGCTAGTTGACACCTAGGGAGAAAAAAAATAAAGGTACGATATATAATCTGATAGGAGGGACAGAAAGAAATGATACTCAAAATTATTATATCATCTAATTTATCTTGTGCTAAATATTATTATGTATATTTTGTTTATAAAAATATATATATATATATATATATATATATATATATATTAAAAAATTGTATATTTTATAAATTTGATTTGAATTTTTTACTAAATCATATTATCTTAGTCCTGACCCCTCAAGTCGAATCCTGGCTTTGCCGTAGTCCACATGGTAGGTATATTTACCCACAAATATCACTTTGAATATATTTCAAAAAAATACAAGAAATTCACTAACTTTTTGGCGATAATGGTTGAATAATTTACCTTCAATAGGAATGAGCAACATATTTAAAACTTATTGGCCCTTCAACAATGTGGGCGTGATTTTTATTAAATATTTTTTGCACCACAATAATCAAATATGACTCAACCAATCACGTCTTATGATTTATAAACTTTTGTTTTACAATAATACATTACTCGGTAGTACAACTGAACATGTAGAAGCTAAAAGAATATATCGATAATTCATTTAATATTCAACTGTCATTTCATATAATTCTCATAATATTATATTATTAAAAAAATTACCTTTTTGTTGGCTGATACGTTATCCATTTTAACGGATAAATTTCATAAAATTGATTAATCAATTTATATTTTTTATTCTTCTTAATAATAATACACGACTATTATGGAATCTCCCATTATTTTGTATTAATAAATATAATACGATGTTGCTACCTTCATAAGGAATAATTATTCTTCATTAAAAAATTTAACAAGAAATTAATACGAGACAATATAACTAATATGTTTGAAAACATAATAATTTGCATTAACGTAATGAATTTAACTTTGAACAGCTAAAAGTAAGAAGCGTCAATATTTTGATATGTAAAAATTTATTCTCGTCTATTTTTTTTTATAAAAAAAAAAGAGAGAAAGATATTCACGGGACCAATTATCATAAGAAATTGCAATGATCCACGATATTGTTGAACACAACATAGATGCACACAAATATACCAGAGAGAAACTGATAAAACTGAATATACTTCCTTATTATTATGTCTTGCTATATGAATATATAGTAACAGAAAATACAAGTAACAATTAAAACTGTCTTTCTAAAGTAAACAAACAAACTAACTTTGAATTATATCTAACACTCCTCCTTAATTCAAAGTTTCATTTACACAAACAATTCCAATAGATTCCCTCAAGTATCTAAATCTATCTATAGCTTCAAAGCTTTGGTTAAAATATCTGCAAACTGAATTTCAGTTCCGCAATGCTCAATTTCCAACTTTTCTTTACTGACTTGCTCTCTTAGGTAATGAAACCTTGTTTCTATATGCAGGGACGGAGCCAGGATTTCAATACTGGGGGGCCGAGAATAAATAATATATAATTTATAATAAATGAAAATTAAAGTATCAAAAGCATATTATCTGACAAAACTAGATAATAATTAACATAATTTAATAAAAATTATTTCTCATATTTACATTTGATAAATATATCGAACATATTGCAAGATCAAGTTATTCAAGTATGTACCTTTATTTCTTAAGTTGTGCCCGTCGTTGTTTCATGAAGTAAAAATCATCAATTATCATATCAGTTGTAAATCTTCGTGCAATCTCCTTCTCAAAAATTCCAAAGTGATACCACATAGCAGGCCGTACCAGAAGTCCAAAAGTTGAATAAAAAAATAAATTTGGGTTATTCATTTAATTATACATATGAGTTTATATTAAAAATAGGGGGTGCCATATAGTAATATATATGTATATAAAAAAAAATTAAAATTGTTGGGGGGGCCGTGGCACCCGTAGGTCCCCCCTTGGCTCCGTCCTTGTCTATATGCTTGCTCCTACCATGAACTGTTGTATGCTTTGCTAGATCAATGGCAGATTTGTTATCTACAAGCAGCTTCACTTTGTTCAAGTGTTCCACTTGCAATTCCTTCATCAAAGCATCTAACCAGACTGCTTGACATGCAGCCTCAGAGGCTGCAATATATTCTGCCTCACAAGATGATAGCGCCACAACTGGTTCCTTTGAAGAGGACCAGGAAATTGGAGCTCCTCCATAGAAAAATATGTATCTTGCAGTGCTTTTCCTATCACTTTTGTCTCCACACCAATCTGAATCAGAGTAAGCAACCAACTTTTCTTCTATTTCACCTTTTCCCTTTGGAAATAGGATTCCAAAATCAATTGTTCCTTGCACATACCTGAGTATTCTTTTAGCAGCCAGCAGGTGTGACTTCTTTGGTTCTTGCATGAATCTACTAATCAACCCAACACTAAAGTTTAAGTCAGGTCTTGTGTTGCACAAATACCTCAGACATCCAACTATTTTCTTGTAATTAGTAGGATCAACAAGCTCTTCATCAGTTTCTTTTTTCAAAGCAATCCCAACCTCTGCTGGTGTTCCTGCTAGATTAAGCTGTTGCATATTTAGTTTCTTCAGCAAATCCCTTGCATATTTCGATTGATGCATTATCATTCCAACTTGAGTCATTTTGAATTCAATTCCCAGGAAATATGAAAGGGATCCAAGATCACTCATCTCAAATTCATTCATCATTTGACTTTTGAATTTAGTAATTGCCTTCTCACTTCTGCCAGTAATCAGCAAATCATCTACATATAGACATATCATTAGTTTTTCTAATTTTGCAGACTCATTCCAACATTTCACATAAACACCATGCTCTACTGTGCACTTCTTGAAGCCAACATTAGACAGGAAGCTATCTATTCTTCTATTCTAAGCTCTTGGAGCTTGTTTAAGACCATATAATGCCTTTTTCAATTTATATACCTTTTCTTCTTTTCCTTCAACAACAAACCCTTGTGGCTGGAACACATATACCTCTTCTTCTAATGGGCCATTTAGGAACGCAGACTTCACATCTAGCTGCTGCATTGACCAATTAGCTTTAGTTGCAATAGCTATAACCAACCTGACTGTTTCAATTCTGGCTACTGGTGCATACACTTCACCATAGTCAATTCCAACCTTTTGCAAAAATCCTTTAGCCACAAGTCTGGCCTTATGTTTCACCACTTCTCCTTTTGGATTAGCTTTCACTTTAAAAACCCATTTCAATGCTATAGGTTTCTTATTTGAAGGGAGGTGATGGAAGAACTTTGTTCATATTTTAATATATTTTAAAATGTATATGTTACATCAATTTTGTTGTATGAGAATGAAGTATCAAATAATCTTAAATTAATATAAAATTTGATATATATGATCAAAAATATATGAACTTTCAATCTAACGGTTAAATTTTCAAAATTCGCATTTTAATATAAAGTTATTGAACGGTGTAACACTTAGTAAAAGTTACAGTGGTGTCGTTTGAACCCTCCTTATATATATATATAAAAGATAAAGATGGTATAATTTTTTTGTCAAATGAAATTCATACATATAAAATGAAGCCCTCTTAAAAACAATTTTTTTTTTCTGTTCATTTTTCAATTGTTAATAGTTTTTATTTTATTTTATTCATAATTATTAATATGTGAATCGCGTAATGATAGATACTCCGACTACTTAAAAAGAATCAAAATGTTTGTTTTTTTTGGTAGACGAAAATCAGTATGTTCTGGTATTGACATAATAGGGTTAGTTCAAATTTTAATTATTGATTTTGAAGTTATTTCAATTTGGTCCTTAAATTGGGCCTAGAGGCAGTGGTGTCCGTTGTGACGTGATCCGCATTGCCTCCAAAAGTCGAGTCATACTTTATCAATTTTACATTTTCTACGCCCCACTTACCCTCTGATGGGGAGAGGGAGGGAAATTAAAAGTAACATCAAGGAATAAGGAAAATAATTTGATATTAAGTAAGAAATAAATTTTTTTTTAATATTTTATATAGTTAAATTTTTATTTGAAATAATTTTTCGTTAGTCATTTTTTATTTGTTTTTCTTTCTCATTGTCAATTTTGTTTATTTTTTTCTTGAAAAATCTGCCATAATTAATAATATGTAAATCTATATATATATATATTAATAATTATTTTTTTGATCTCTATTTTTTAATAAATAATTATACTCCTGAATGTAAAAAAAATATTTTTTTCTAAATAATTATC